AGTAGAAAAAAAAGCCTACAGCTCCCAGCATGCTGGCCAAGGCATGCTGGGATTCATAGGCCTTTTTCCCTCTTCAAAACATGTCCAGAATTGTGCCTGACGTGTGGCGAAAGACATGCTCACAGCCCATGTCTGAGCAGCTCTCCACATAAGGGGCAAAGGAACGAACTGTAAATAAACAATCTAATGTTTATTTTGGGGGAGAAGACATCTTTTGAATCAATATTTAAAATATTAAAATTATTTTTGAATGAATACATAAAGAAAGTTAAATAGTGCAGGCTGAAATTCCTCTGGCGTTCAAGCTGAGATCTTGGTTCATGAGAATGGGATAAGCTCTGGGCTCGGAGATGAAAGAGCAATACATCCAGTGCTCTGCCATAAAGTTTAGCATGGAGAAACTCAGTCTGTGCAAGCTCTGTTAGAGCTTTTTCCAAAAAAGAAAAAAAAGTGAAGTTGGCGTGAAATGCTGTGGAAAGCTACAGCAGCATCTGATATTATTTATGGCACTACTAAATCATATTAAAATATAGTATACTGTACTGGAGTGTGATAATACTATGTTTAAGCAATTACTTTTGCTCGGAAAGATTCATGGCCGCTATGTAGGCAGCCTTCCCTCCGCCCTCCTTGCGACACTGGGCAGCATTTTCAAAGGCAAAAGTTTCAGTGGTGCCAAATCACCTTGTTTTATATGCTATGTGATACTCCTGCTTGTTGTGCTGCACTCTTTAATTTTTGCTTCTCACCATACGCATATTGTATTGTATTTATTTCTTTAATTTCTTTCTTTCATTTCGATGCCTCCCAATGGCCGAAGCTCCTTGGGTGGCTTAATGAACAGCAGCTCATTAAAAAAATGCAATAAATACAAGACAATAATCCTTCCAAAATATAAACATATAAAAAACTAAAATAAATACCAGCTAGAACAACATATGAGGAAGAGTCGCCAGGTAAAACACCTGGGAGTTTTACTGACCACTGGTGTTAGAGATGCCCTGAGCATATGTATCTTTTCATATCTTTTCACTTTTGCTGCAAGATTCCTTACAATAAGGAAATGCCAAATGCAGCATCAGAGAGTTGCCGCTACCATTGCTCACCGAGAAGCAAGTGTGAATGTGCCAAGAATCCAGATGTAACCCATTTCCATCTGTAACAGTCAGGTATGGGGGCGTCTCCAAATATGGTTGGACTACTGCTCTTTTCAGCCCTGGCCTGGCCAGCATAGTGGTAAGGGATGATGGGAATTGCAGTGCAACGATAGCTAGAGGGCCACATGTGCTGCAGCCCACCCCAAATAAAGACGTAACTATTGCCTAACCCCATAATAGCAGCTGCCACTTCCGACATGCCAAGCTTCCTGTAAATGGATTAAGCAAATTGGTGCAGAACAGAGCCATCAATAGTTATTAGTCATGGTGGTTTAAATAGAGCTTCCATATTCAGAAGGGGTGTACCTGAGATAAGCTAAGGGGATGGGAAGCACTTGGCTGATCACTGCAGGGAAGAAAAGCAAACTAGTTAGAACGTTTGTCTGACTGAGCAAGGCACTTCTTCCGTTCTTCTGCTCCTCCATTATATAGAAACAGGAAATGAAGAACCAGACATGATTCCACAGGTCATAATTCATTGCTGCACATTTTAAAGAAAGAAAAGGCACACAAATCACTCGCTCCTCTTCTTTCCCTACCTCTGTGTAGTGTAAGATTGTGTTAGACTGGGAAGTATTTTTATGACTGTGTGACTTCTATGTAGGGTGGCCACGTACAAAGAGGGTTTCTGTACTTTTAATAGTTGTGCAGAGGAGGGAATTTGAGGAGGTGCAGATTTTCTTAGCCTCACACGGCAAGCTGCTCTTGCTCCTGAGAAAACTCCTTTTTCTGTGCTGCGAAAGATACAGGAGCTCTGCTCTCCTTTGCATCTGCTCACCCTAGTAAAAGGGGCTTACTAATGGCCTGTCTTTAACAAGATGGCAGGAAAGGTTAAGTATTGCAAATGCAGAGCTCGGTCCTGCAAAAGCATATGCCCCTGCACAGCAGTATTCCCTGCGTGAGGCTGTTTGCCATTTTTATTGGACCTCAATAAATTGTTTGTTGCAGATTTCAGCAGCAAACCTCCCCCCTCCCTTTTATTCCCTGTCAGGGTTGCCAACTATTGAATTGGCCCCTGTAGCTGTTCCCTTAACCAGCAATTTCTTCAGCAGCAATTAGCAGCTGAGCAGAACTCCGTGCCAAGAAAAGCCTCTTCATTTCTGCATATCAAACTTTGATTTTAAAGGACAAGACTACTCTCCCAATCCTCTTGGTTTTCCATTTGCAATACCATATTCCATTTCCACTCGGGTAACACTTGTTGCACATTCTTCAAGCTCCTATTTTGTACCTTGGAAAATGCGATATTTCCTCCAGAAAATGCACGGATTTCTACCGTGGTTGGATGTTGTTCTGTGGAGCGGCGCTGAGGCAGGACGGCTGCACCTGGCTAAATTATGCCTTGCTTGCCATTTTTATAGCCCAATCCCAGGCAGACTTATTTACTTAGCCGTAAGTTCTGCTGCTTCAAGTCAGCCTGTTTGGGATTGCAGCCTTAGAGACGCAGGAGCACTGGGACACTGTGGAGCCCTGCCATGCCTTAATTTAGCACCAGAGAGTAATTTTCACGTCATGTGGCAGCAAATCTGGATTTTGGCACCAAGATTACATTCGACAGGGAACCTCTCCAGGGCAGTCTTTGTTCACAACACTGATATTTGTAAACCTGTGTCGGTCACAGTCAGACACAGCTAGGAAGGCTGCTTACATAACAGCCCCAAAGAGGAAACAGGTAACCATCAAAGAAGAGCAAGGAGGCTACCAGTTTGCAGAAAATTTCTGTAGGCAAATGCATACGTATATGTGCAAATTTGGAAAAACAACTAGAATTTAAACCAGGGGTGTAATATATCTCCCTCTAGTGAAGAAGGCAGACTGGGTGACCTCCTCATCCTGCTGTCTTGGGGCATCTTCAGGTTTACTTGGGGTTCTTTGGCTTGGACTGGCACCTCTTCAAACAGAGGACTGCCTTCCTCCGGCTCACAAAATAGAAGGCTGTCCTCTGCAAAGTAGGATGGACACCTGCCACACAACACTCTTAGGTATCCAGTTGAAACATCTTAGGGTTGGCAGATGATGTTGCCGAGCAAACATAAAGCTCTTGGATTTCCCCCAAACACTAACGTGGGATTTGCAGAGGAGACGTGGTAGTTGAGAAGAGGCTACTCAACCCCACCTCTGCCTGCCTGCTCTCCCCAATAACTGCTCCCCATGGCCTGTTCCCCTCCCTTCATTTTTCTACCAGCTAAGCCTGGTAGAGACTAGACATATGCTCAGCATGGGCAGTGAACTGGGGATGGACATGGCCAGCCCAAGCTGTTTGACCATGGCAGCATCGAGGCAACATCGTAAACCCTGCCCTGTTAACAGCCACAATTTAGCCAGCTGTGGAGACCCCAAAGAAAAGCAGCTGCTCTTCAGCCAAGCGCCCCATAGCTGACACCCCATGGGGCTGCCTGGCAGTTGAAGCACCTAACCCTGTTGTGGCCATCCAAAGCCTCCCTGTGTTCTGCCAGTGCCTCCCAAAACTTTCCCAAGGCTGTGTCCTGTCCTGAAACCTTGGCAGAAGCCAGCTGGGATTCCCAGCTGTCCAGCCCTGCAGAAGAGAGCCCTCTCCCTCTGAAGGGGTCCTCTGTTGGATGGGCTGCCAGAGCAGGTCTGGTGTCAAACTGGGGGCTCACGGAAGGGATGCAGGGAGTGGCCTTGATGTTGCCTATCGAGGCTTCATACCTGGAGCCGGTGCAGAGCAGCTCAGTCTTCTCCCTGTGTTGGCACATATTGCATTTCTCATGAAATGGCACTTGTGCTCCCTAAATTTGTATCCATATGTCCTCCTTGGGCTCTTTCTTGGCAAAGCACGAAAGACCAACCTCCCTGTGGGAAGGTAGCCTCCTGCTGCCAGTCCTGCTCTGCAGACACTGGCCAGGCCAGCCAGCCCCTGGCCTGGAATGTGGCAGGAAGCAAGTGACACGGCTCGGGCTGGCACCGAGCTGGGGAGCCGCGGCCTGGGGTGCTGCCTTCCCTGTGGAGCACCTGGCCAGGCCACTGCTGGGGGGCGGGCTGGAGGGGCATGGGCTGGTGTGTGGGTGGGAGCTTCATCAGGAGCTGCATTCTCATTCTGCTAATCTGCTGCCCAAGCTTCATGGCAGGGCCCATCCTCCAGTTCTTCCTCTACTTCCACGTCATCAAGAACTGCCCCAGGCAGGATTAGATTCAGGTGTGGTTCTGCCTTTAGTTGTATGCCTAATAGCATCATGCACCGAGCCACTGTGAATATTGACGAGGATCATTGGCTCTGAGATGGCTGTGTTGCTTTAGCATTTTGTTTTCCAGAACTGGTTTATTTGTATTTACAGGAGTTTCCTCTCCTTTAATTTGTTCGTTCGGTTAAATAGGCTGCAGTTTTACAGAGCAGGTTGTGAAACAGGTTCTGCACCTATGTGGTAGCCAGTTAAGTGCCCAGCCATGCTTTCTGCATTAAAAATCTATTAACTTCTTTGTTTTATGAATAGGCCCCATCGTATTCTGACCGAGCCCTCCTTTTTTCTTTTCCTTCTCATTCTCCCTTTTTATGCCATTAAGTTTGTATTTTATTCTGAATCGGAAAGGACATTGTGGTTGTCTTGACTACTAAAAAAGGCAATCCTACACAGTGCTCAGAAGATGTGCATAATGTGCTCATTGCGACAGGAGAGGGAGAGACAGCCAGGTGAAGTGCAGCTTCTGGGGTTGCCGACAACAAATCTGGAGGCAATTTTTCAGGGTTGCCGTGGGTTTTCCACAAAGCTAACTAGCTTGCTGCATAGTTATACATTCATGTACTGTGCTGGCGATCATTGTCTCCAGGCGCATTCACTTTGCAGATGAAAATAAAATAAAATCCCCCCTGTCCTTTCTTTCCAGGCAATCGTATATGAAGGCCAAGACAAGAACCCAGAAATGTGCAGAGTTTTGCTCACCCATGAAATAATGTGCAGGTAAGAAAGATCCTGTCACCATTTAATTAGCTTTTAGAAAATGAATTCCTGTCTCAGAAACTAGGCTGAACCTGCAGCTATCTGGGGACTGAAAACATAGCTTTCTTTGCCTTCAACAAGCCCAAAATAACACAGTTCTGCGTGTGCAATTAGCAGCAAAGTCACAGTTATCATGCCTGTTTTCAATTATCTATTAGAGCTCAATCCTGAACAATATACCATGTGAGATGTTTCCATTTAGACGTAGGACCTGTAATAGGCATGGGAATGTCTTTACACCAAAAGAAAGAAAGAAAAAGAAAGAAAGAAAAGAAAAGAAAGAAAGAAAGAAAGAAAGAAAGAAAGAAAGAAAGAAAGAAAGAAAGAAAGAAAGAAAGAAATTAAGAGGGATAGCATCTAAATTGCAGACTTTCAAGGAGGAGTAATTATCCAGCACAATTTCCAGCAGTAAAATCCCAAGGTTAGGCCACAGCTATCACAATGGACCTACGTTCAGCTGGGCTGAAATGTCAACAGCGTTGTCGTCTTCATTACTTTAAATTTATTCTCTGCAATAAGATGCCATATAGGCTGCTTGTGAAAGGAGCAGGGGCCAGGGTGGAGGAGAGGGTCTGTGGCCAAGGTACCTGAATTAAAGCCAGGATGCCATGAAGATGTGCGTGCATATTTCTGTTAAACTTTCAATGGTATCATTCCTGGTAGCAAATTTACCTCAACTTCTGGAGCATCAGATAGGAGGTCATTGGCTCTGCGCAGTGTTTGCCTGTGTCTGGAAGTCATTCCATGCATCTCTTTCTTTGGAACCATCTTCTTTGACTCCACAAAATTAAGCAACAACAACTCTGTGAGACTCTGTTTTGAAACTGATGACAGCATTGCTACATTTTTATAAAGACATTTCCTTTTTGGCTATCTGTTAAACCTAGATCAGCCTTCTCCATCTTGGTGCTTCCTGGATGTGTTGGATGATGGGAATAACGGAACTGTAGTCCAAACATCTGAAGGGTACCAGGATGGGGGATAGCTGCCCTGGGTCATGTGGCAGAATCTCAGAATAGCCCTTAAAGGCATGCCAACAAAGATGACCTGCATCTTTTTATATATTTCATAAATCTACATATAATGACCTTCTAAAGTGGTGGAAAGTTCTCCAGGGCACTGTGAGTTCTAGTGTGGCTTGTGAGGTCAGCTATAAAGCCATGCCTGCCCTCCCTGAGAGGGGGGCTTCTCTGAGGGAGACATGGGGTTCCTTTAGCACTGCCATCATTTTCCCCGGTACACACAGTGGTTTTCCTGTGCAATCAGGAGGATTTCAGCTGATAAATGCAGGCCGTATAATGCCGCTCTTAGATGAATTCGTAGCTGGGTAATGAATCGTACCTCAAGAACCATGGAGGGTTCGGCTAGCACTGTACAAACCTGTATGGACAAAAAAAGGAAAACCATTCCCAGTGTTACCTTGAAAGGGAAGGGGGAAAGCACCATTAAAATATTTTTAGGTGTTGATCAAAGTCCAAAGGATGCTGCTTATGTGTTGCCACAGAAAAGATCTTGTCACACAGCATTATGATATGTCGTATTGATATTGCTGTGTGTGTGTGTGTGTGTGTGGGGGTTTCACTTGCTTTCCTGCCCGTTGTAAGTGCAAGTTAGGATGTGCTGAATCTGCACCAGGGGTTCAAATGCAGCCTCAATTATAAGCATAAAATTAGAGTCTGTTCCCCATTAATCAGCCCAACTAATTGCTATGCACTGCCATTAGCCATATGGTGTGAAAGACAGCTTGTGCTCTCTAAGATGAAATTTCTTCATTCCAGACATGAAATAGTGAAGCCCTGTGCTTCAAAATAGCTTGTTTTAGATATTTAATTCCCAAACAACTTTCAGCAGTGCCTTCGATCAAGGCTAACAGCACAATAAAACTTTGAGTTTATGTTGCTGAAACTGAATATTTACAGAATAGGGGGAAGTGTGTGAGGGAGGAGACAAAAGAACTCAGATATTAAAGGAGAAATCCTAGATGGGGAGGGATGGGAAATAGTGAAGCTAAATTAGGCAGTTGTTAGTTTATTTTATGGGATTTCAAAGAATCTTGAAAAGATCATTCCTTTGGCAATGACACAAAATGCTGTGGACAAGCATCCACACGGAGGTGGCATTTATTCTTCATAATTCCTATTACAGGAGTGCCTTGCGAGCTTTTATTTGTCCGGCGCCATTGCGCTGGGGCAGAGCACGAAGCAATCCTAGTTCTAAAGAGGAACGCACGAGCAATGGCTCCTCCACACAACCGCCTTGTGATGACAAATGTGCGCTTTTGGTCCATTGGTGTTATTCTGATCGCTGTGCAACAGGCGTGCCTTTGGCATAGCTCTCGTTTTGCACTTTTGTTGTAGTGACTTGAAAGTCACCACGAACTTGGAAGCCACGTGAACGCACTGTGTAGGACAGCTTCCCGTGCTCCAGTCTAGCTCCTTAGCCAGCAATATTTGGTTGCTGTTCCTTGCTTCGAATAGCTAGTCCAGATCATCACTGCTTTATGCAAAGAATACTTCACCTCTGCTTTTATTCCCCAAGAGCTCCACACACCTTTGCTTGTATAAGGAAAGCATTTCTATGCAGCCTTTTAGTCAAAGGCTCTCAAGGATGGGGCATGTTACTGAAATCTGATGACCTCCAACCCACATCCATGAAAAGTTAGAGATGAAGGGAAGAAAGCTTGGCTGGTGATGTCAGCTAGGCCAATCTTGGATTTAAACCAGTTGGGAGCAAGAGCAGGAATCAGTACCTCAACAGTCACAGAAAGCGACGTGAAGGGAACACCTTCACTGCCTGCTGAAAGGCAAGCTGTGACAGAACCAGTCCAATCTTCTCTGGGGAGGTAGTTCCACAGACATGGTATCACCACAAAGAAGGCCCTGCCTGACATCATTTGGTGGTGGGACATGGAGCAGGGATGGGCAAGCTCGTGGCACTTTATGTGCCACAAGTTTCATTCCAGAAATCCTTACAATATCCGGGTAAGACAGACTGGTATTATTGCCAAAATATAGACTGGTGGGTGTGTGATAGGATCTTTCTGAGACCATTTGCTGCCTCAAAGACTTCATCTAAATTGCTTTTTTCAAAGCTGGTACAAGCTACTGAGGAGAAAATGCACAGACACTCATCTTGTGCCTGTATGTTTCCCCTGTATGCCTAATTGCCATTACAAGGTGTGTTTTGCTTGGATCAGGGCCTCAGTGCCAGGACTGGGGGAAGGTTCAGCCCTCCTGCACTACACTCCAGCCTGAATCCAGACCTGGTCCTCCCACGGCTGCTTTTAAGGGGAGAATAAAAGCCAATTGCACAGAGAATAGATCACAGAACTCTTGCATCATAATGCCGTGACTTGTCACCAGCTTTGCTTTTGAAAACAAAACAAACAGAACACCACATCATCTCAATTATCAGAATCAATTTGCTTTGAATTTATTGACATGATTCATATGTTTGCATAGATCTAAAAATAATAGTTTCATGTCATAGATGCATTCTTTGCCTGAAGCTCACTCTCATCAAGATTACATTTATGAAAATCAATAATAAATATTTATGAAAAGGCACACTGCTGCCCAAGTTAAGCCCATTTAAGTCACTCTGCCTTCAGTGGGAGCAAAGCTACCACGTATTTACAGTCCTTTTCTTCACATCCATATGACTGAAATGCGGATCATGCCCAGCCCTTTAATACTTACATTCCTAATTGGAAAAGACCAAAAGCTGTTGGAGAAATCTGCTAGTTAGGCATGAAAACCAGTAGAAACTTCACATACAAAACCTGATGCCAACAGGCCAAATCTGCCTGTCCTGGAGTCTCAAGTGGGGATGCCATGGACTACCCCCAACTTTCTCGTAGTTCTGACCATTTGCAGTTTCTTAACAGTTCTGCAACATTTTCCCCTTTCTAAAGAAGTGAAACACTTCTCCTAAGGCTTCGCTGGAAAACACTTAACATCTGCTTTAGTGCACAGCTAGGATCATGGGAACTCAGGAAGCAGTTCAAGGGGGCACAATATGTAGCTTTTTGGATAGCATGTATGGAGCCCGGCCCAATTGCTGTGCAGCTTGCAGTCTTCACTGAGGAATGCTGGGGGATCGTTATTTTCCCAGGCTTTTTAGCCCTTCATCTTTGAACAGGGTATTCTTGAGTGTTTAGATCTTTGCTGTGCTGCTCGTTTGGCTCTTGATTGTGGCTTTGCTTTAATTCTGTTTAAAACTTAGAGTTTTTATATTTTGTCTTGCTACATTATCGTATTATATACTTTAATGCGTTTTCTTGTAAACTGCCCAGAGTTCTTCAGTTATGGAGCAATATGGATTTGTAATAAATAAGTGTCAGGAGGGGATCGGGTCAGCACCATGGTCCTGGGATCCCACACATGGAATGAGTGCGCTTGACGCCACCCTGGCGATAGCAGCAAGGTTCCTTTGAAGTCTGACTCACTGTCAGAGTTCACACTGCTCGTTGAGTCATGCGCACCTAGCATGGCTTCCTCAGCAGGTTCACACCCCACAGCCGCTTTTGCCTGGCAGGTACAGCACAGGGCAAGGATCAGCTCAGCTGGCAAGCCAATCAGCAGAGCTGACCTTGGCAGCCCCTGCTGCTGCTCGACAGTAGCATCCTATGGAGAGGTGGGGAGCAGCGCTGTGCTCTCCTGAGCCTGCTCTAGAATAGGCTGAGCAGAGCGGGCTTGCTGTTTCCCATTCTGGCTCTACCACGGATCAGGTGTGCTACTGTCCCCTGTTCTGGCGCTACTATGGATCAGGTGTGCTACTGTCTGGTGCTGCTACAGATCAGGGGTGTGTGTGTGTGTGTGTGTGTGTGTTGCCTGGCTTGCTTTCCAGTTGTCTAAGCAGAGTCTAAGCATCCCAGGCTCAGGTGGAGCAGTGTGGTGGGATGGTGCCCACAGCCTTCACAGAGGCCACTTCACAGCCGGGAAGTCTGCTTGTGAGTCAGGGTGAGGCCCGCCAGCAATCCCTGCCCCCCTTCTGGCAGGGATTGGGTGTGGGGGGAAAACTTGTGTTCCCACAGTGTCTTGTGGGATACGTGCAGGAGGACCAATGGGAGAGGAGGGGCAGGCGTGGGCCCCCCTACTCATTCTCGGCCCCTACCTGTGGTGCACCTACCGTGTGCACCGCAGGTAACGTGGCTGAGCATGCTGTGCGAACTTGCCCATGGTGGTTGCCAGTTTATTTCCCTCTTCTTGTTATATACAGAGATTGTAATACTTGACTTATCCATCATCCTATAGCTAAGTAATGCATAAGACTTTCTTTTAATCACTTGTGTTAAACAATCACACACTGATCACTTTGTTTCCCTCTGTTGACCTCCGAGAGTAGGCGAGATTGTATCTGGATTTAGTACTGTTTCTTTGAAGAGGAGGGGACTATTTACGCTCTTAAAAAAAGTGAGATTAGCTAGTGGTGCATATGTGGGTGGAAAAAAATAATAAAGCAAGCAAATATGAAATGTGTTATGTAATTTGTGAACAGTACCCCAAATCCTGATGTCTTAAAGCTTCTTCTCACAGGGTGGAGACAAATCAGCAGTTCATATTACTCTCAGTGCAGCCCAAGCAATGACATTTCTGCCGAAGTGCAGATCCCACTCGCCCTTCATCTGTGAGAAGTATGAAGCCCTTTGCGGCTGCTGTGAGGTTTTACCCCGTGAAAAGGGTCATGTGTTCTTTTTCCATTTCATTTTCATGAAACCACTCAAACCGGCTGGTTTCGTCGAAAGTGTTTCTGCTATGCTTGGTGCAGCTTATATTTCGTTGCCAGTCTTGGTGGGTCACCGTGCGTTGTTTAGCACGTTGTTGAACAGCCGTTGTCGTATTCCCTGGAGAGTTATTCACTCGGCATGACACTTCCAGGGGCGGCTGTCTTTGTGCGGAAGTTCTTCCACACTCCTTAGGGGAAGAGTAGTCCATCTCCATGCGAAGGTACTTCAGGGTCAGCTTCTGTGGGGGGGCGAGTTTTGCAAGATTCGGAATCAAATCAGACCTTTCCAGGGGTTCCCGCTTGCTTCCCAGCCATCCCCAACCAAGACCTGTTCCTTAGCTCGCCTTCTCCAATATGGCGCCCTCCAGCTGCCTTGCATTACAAACCTATTGCTCCCCCTCTGGCTGGGGCTGATGGGACTTGTAGTCCAGAACTTTCATGGGACAGCAGGTTCAGCAAGACTGCACTCAGCTTTCTGGATGCAAAGTCAGATGGGAGAGGCCTGCTACATACACCACTACAGTTCCATTCATACTTGGATGCATGTGGAGTTCCCCCTCCTGGAGCAGCCATGTGGTATGACTAATGTGTGAAGAGTTCTCCCTGTGATCTTTTGCTGCCTGAAGGAGACCCCAAAGAGCATCTACCTCACTAAGCCAGGGCTTAAAATCAACCTACTGCATCGTTCAGGCATCCGTTGCTACTTACTTCTCCCGTGCTCTGGTACCACCTGAAGCTGGTTGCTTCACTCCCTTGTGTATAGAAAGTAATGTGCAAAGTGCTTGGGGGTGAGAAGTGTCTCCACATGAGCAGTTCTGAGGTGTCTCCTTATGACTGTGCTCCTTGTCCCATCTGGGCCCTCCTTGTGGCAGAATTTGAAAAGCACGGCATCTGTGTGGATACAGTGTGAGCACACACTATGCACAAGGTCAGCGTGCAAGGCACAGAGGAGTGCCTCTCCATAAGTTAGACCTATGCATAATGGCATTTGTGGGCTGACTTCAAGGGTAGGCCTGACTGGGCATCTGCTGGCAGCCCACACTCCAGCAGGGCCCCATTGGCAGAGGGCCCCATGGACTTCAGTATTTCGACTCTCTTCTTCACCTACTTCATGTGCTGGTGAGCCGTGCTGGATTGAGACGGGACAACACATGCCCCTGCTTGCTTGCCCCCTGGCCCTCTGCCCGTCGAGCAAATAGGTGGTAGCAAAGGTGGGATCAGGAGCAAGAGCAGCTGGTGGCCACGGGGGCGAGAATGTTAGATTCACGGAGGACAAGAATGCATTGACGGCCTGGCCAAGGGCTGTCCAAAACCTGGGCTGGCTTGCTGCATTCCCCATTTCTCCTTCGTAATTAATTCATACAGCTAAACAAGCAGGGGCTGCTGACTGTGATGGGGGGTAGCTAGGTCTTTTCAGGGGTCAGGTGGAAAAAGGCAGGCTTCACTGCTGACCAACACACTCATCAGATTACCAAAATTCTCAGACCAGTTCCAGATCCTGGTTTTTGGTATATTCGGGGCTTACCATTTAATCCTCTACATGGCTACTGAGTTGATGTAGATCATGCTGAAAAGCAGACTGTCTGCAAAGTGTGTGTAAAGGCAAAGTTGCTACTCATATCCATAGCACACTTACTCTGCACACATCTTTACTTCAAGAAGGTGCCCAACAGCAGCTCAAAAGAAAACTTATCAGAACGGTCTCTCGTGCCGTTTGCAGAATGTTATGCCTCATGGGATGCCTTATTCGTTATATTTTCAGGATCCTTCACTTTTCATTTTCCCCCCACCTTGCCATCACACTCACAACAGATGAGTTCACAACCTTGAGGTGTGGATTTTTCCCTTTAAAAACAACTGTGGGGGAGAAAGCGAGGATAACTCAGGACCCAAGCAGCCACAAAACTAGAGCACAGAAATATCTGCTCCCTGTCGGAGGTTGCTACCTGCCCCTTGGTTTAACTTAGGGCCACCAAACTACCTGCAATGTAGTTGGAGAAGGTCGTTATCATTATCGTTATCTTAAGGAACCTCCTACTATTATGCCTAAAACAGGGCTTATAATTTTTTCTTTCTTTCTGTACATTTGTGGTAGGGGTTGTTGCTTGCCAGCTGGACAAGAAGTTCAACCTAGTAATTAACCCGTATGTGACCTGCCATATACAACTGATTTCCAAGCAGGGACGGAGTGGTAACTCCAGCCAACAATGTGAACCCTCCCGTATTTCTAATTATGATTTTTTTTAGAGCCTAATGGTCGCACTAAATCCTCTCTCTTTTGCTCCGTAGCCGCTGCTGTGACAAGAAAAGCTGTGGCAACAGAAATGAGACTCCTTCAGATCCAGTGATAATTGACAGGTAAGGGCTGCTATCCTTTCCCTTGAATTTATTTCGTGTTATTTATTTATTTATTGCTGCTTCTCATTATAATGAAACACCTGCCCTGTGTTGCTAATGGGCAAAGACTGATGTGCGTCCGTGAGCGTAATTTTGTTGTTCGTATGGAATTAGTGATGCTCTAAGGTTTTGATTCTTGTGGAAAGGCCATATGGGGTGTCTCTGTGCGAGGCGGCTCTGCGGAGCATTGTGGTGATAGTCTCTGATTCATGCTCCTGGAGGAGATATTTTTTTTGCTGCAACTTTCGGTGTCTCCGTTCGCATGCTGTGCTTGGGAAGCTTCAGGAATATAAAATAATAATACTTTATGATTTATGAAATGTGGTTGGATACTTATAAATATTTAACTTTTTACTTTGAAAAATGTTTGAAGCATGATCACTTTTTAGCTACAGCAGTTCCCTTGGATGCAATCCATCTAAATTGTAAAATTTGTTTCATTTTATCTGTGCATCAAGAGATGGGCAAGTTAAAGATTCCTCCCCACTCACCTTCCTTTCTTGCAGCTTGTTGTCTTGGGTTTGAGTGCAATTTTCATTGTATTGTCAGTTGATTAATTCATTTTGCCCATCTTAATTATTATGGTTTCTAAACCAATCCAAATTACTAATCTGACATGACCGAATAAATCACTATAGAACAATAAATTCACTGGAGTTGTTCTGTGCAATTTGCACTCGGCAGGCTTGCAAATTAGGCAGTGCTGTAGCCAAATAGTCATTTTTACATTTTAATTATTGAAACTCATACAGAAGCATATGATAAACTGTTACAATGTCACATTAGTCTGTGAGTGTTAAGTGACCATGCAAAGCTGATATTGTCAATCATCAGTTAAGAGAGAGCACTATATTAGGAGGGAGTGGAGCCCTCGCTCTAGCTTTATTGTCTAAATTAAAGTTTACTGCATTCAGTTCATAGTATTTTCGGTGTTCTATTGTGCAGAAGGTGGAGTGTGCGGTGATGGAGCAAAGTGGAATTCGGTTAGAATGACTCTACGGGTCTTTGACTGCCATCCTAAACACAATTATTGGGATAGAAGTATGACCCTTTTTGCTTATTGGGACTTACTTCTGTGTTAATATGCATAAGATTGTGCTGTGAATACAGTTTTATTTATCTAGCATGATTTGCAAAGAAATAACGTATATTTGACTAGCTTATAGCAGATGCCTTTGCAAAATATTCCCGGCTTAGTTGAAAATAGCAGTCTGCATAGCAATATTGCATATGTTAACAAATGTAAGCATAGGAGAGTTCAAATCTTGCAAAGTGGTACATGAACAGAGCATGTTCTAGAGTGATGTGGTGACTGTTGCATTAAAAGCAAAGTTCTTATTTCCCCTCCCATTGTCCTCAATAGTGAAATAGTAAGGGGATTAAGAGAAAGTTGTGTGTTGCTGCCTGTGGGCAGATTTGTTGGCTAGAGTTCATTTAAGTCATAAAACCTCAACCTCGGACACTGGCTACATTCAGAGGACCGTACTGCAGCCAAGATATGAACAAGCTTTTTGTCCATGCATGGAGTTCCTTCATGCCTCCTTCTCTTTCAGGCTCTTTGCAGTCCAAACAATCCAACAAGAAAGTGATTAACCAGTTCCCCTTTCCATTTGCACCGGGAAACCAGCTTCATAAAAAGCCAGGATATTAAACTAACTTCAAATTATGGTTTAATATCTGTGTTTGTTCCATAGCTGGTAATATTTGTTCCCTGTTTTGGACAAATGATGGTTATTCAGAGCTTTCCTAGTTTGCCTTAGCACTGTGAAAGGTCTGCTCATAGAGGTTGTTCAGATCTTGGCTGGTTAAGATAGCATCATCTGAATGAGGCCGCTGTACTCCATACCATTCTTCCTAAGCCACATGCTCTTGTATACAAAAGTGGATTACAACTCATAGTTATGGAGGACTTTGGTTGTGCAAGACTTTAGTGGACAGAACCAGCATTTCAGAAGTACAGGCTGAAGCTGAATTTGGTTTGGGAGTCTGGGCAACAATTAATTTTCCCTCGCCACACATTTTGTATGTGAACTGGTTAATCTTTTAGAATTCTTCCCCTGGTTTCAAGTTGTGACTTTGATACAGAGGGCTGATAGGACTGTGGTTTGAATAACATTTGATTTTGACCTGCTCCTGTGGGTTGCAGTGGCATAAGAAATTTGACTCAGCGGTGCTGTAATTAGCCTTGCCTGTGTTTTTGAAACAGGATTGGGTTACCTGGATCGCATTAGTGTGGCTTCTATTGTTGCCGCTTAGCATCTGTCCCAGTAGGGTACTTAAAACCTTTTTCTTGGCCAGGCCTAGTTCAAACAATTTAGGCAAAATAAAGTATGTGCTTTGTACAGTTAGTGGCTCTGGTGATGTTACTGGTGATATTTACTAGTGCTATTTTCTCTCCCTTGGCTCGAAAAACAGAAAGCCATCTATACGGAGCTGGAGTCTTAAACAGAGTACTTTACAAATTGTTTTAACATTAAAAAAGCCGTCATGAGCTGGAACATATGTTGAGCTGCACTCTGCTGTCACTCCTGCATGCATAAAATTGTAAGCTATTATGCCAATTGATATGCAAAACCATATTTAGCTATTTTTTATTTGCAAGTCATCCTTCACAGGACAAGTTTGGCAAAGGGGAAAGAGTTTGCAAAGATGTTCTCGCATGCTTACCAGACTGCTCAATCATTTTTTGTTCTACGTGAACTTTAACACTGAATGGCTACCTTAAATGCCAGGCAAGGGCCACATTTAAATGTACATGTTTCTACATAAAGGTTACCATCCTTTTCCTAAACTTGTAGAATATGGCTTGGAAATGTCCATTCGAGAATAATTCTTGTTGCACATTATACGATACTATGATTTATCTGAAAATAATGAAGATATAAGCAACGCCAGAAAATATTCTGAATGTCCAGAGAAATAATGTTGAGTGCTGATAGTCAGCATAAAAGCAATTGCATTAATTTATGCATGAAGAGTGGAGACTGAGTAATATGCAAATGTATTTACCTTCCAAGTTGTATAACATGCCATTTTGCACCTACTTATTTGTTATTGATGTTTATACATGTGGAAGTTTGGAGCAACTTGCTAGGAGCAGGACAGTGGAGGAAACTGCGTTTAGAGAAACATGACATGATTTCAGTCAACTAATCCATAGAAACTGTCTACTCATGAGTGGTATATTTTGCCTCTGAAGAGGGGTATAAATCTATTATTCACCTATTCTTGTGATATGGAAGACAGACTTAGTTAAAGCATGCAGACTTTGGTAGGCAGGGCTGGTCCTGGCTTGCCTGCATTGGCTGCCAGTTTGTTTCCAGGCCAAATCCAATGTGCCAGCTTAACCTATACAGCCCAGGGCTCCAGGTGCCTTGAGGGCTGTGTCGTCCTGGTCCCTGCGGTCAGGCTCAGTGTCTTTTTTCCGTGTGCCCCATCTGTGGTGAATTGAGTTCCTGAAATATCCCCACATTTATGGGATGCTTTCCCTAAGAAGCTTGCCTGGCACCGATGCAGCCGTTTCTCCTGAGCCAAGCAGAGATGCCTCTCCTTTCCCAGACATTTGGGCAGTTATGGCTCGGTGGCTCAGGCCGCTTCTGTGATGCTCAGTCTGGGTTGTGAATGGGGTGCGGGGAAGATCTTGTGTATTGTGCTTGAACACTTCCCATATTGGTTTGCTATTTTTATTGGTGTTGTTTTGATGAGTATGGTTGACAATTCATCGTAGGCTTCCCTGGTAGCAAGTATGGATTACTGCACATGTGTGTGTTAGACTTCTGTGGCACAAAGTAGCGTAAATGTGAAAAAAACCATTATAATTTCATATCTAATAATAATGAAGAACAACCTAATATTATGTTGTTGTTGTTAGAGAACAAAAAAGGCTACCTTATATCAGGTGAGGCAGTGGTCTGTCTAGCTCAGAATCATAGGGACTAGCACCAGCTTTGATGGGGTTCTGGGCCAAAGCGTCCTCTGATGGGGACTGAAAGGCTTGCCTGGCTGCAGGGGCTGTGCAACAAGCAGGATTGGTGCTTTGCTCCAGGGGTCCCACCATTGCTTAGAGTGGCTGGATTCAACTACTTTTTGGGCAGGGGGGAAGCAGCGGAGAGAGGGGATAGGCGTCAGCTGTGCTAGTGCCAGTTCTGAGCATTAGGTGTGCTCTCGAGTGGCGGCCGCACAGAGTTTCAGGCAGCTGCCTTCCCTGGGTGCACCTGTGGTACCAGAGGCTGAACCTGTGATCTCTTGAATGCAAAGCATCTGCCATATCGCCAAGCGCTGACTCCTCCGCAGGCCATCAGGAAACAAACCCAGACCGAGGAAGTGTGTGCATGCATGTGATGGCCCTTTACGCAGGCTGCAAATAGCACCTCCTAACACAAATATACAAAATAAAATGTACAGAATAAAATCCCTAAAGTTCAAGAAATATTTTTAAAAGGGAACTTCTTTCCCCGTGCGCCAGCCGATCCAATAATTCTACATCAGTATGGCACAGATTACAGAAGCTATCATAATGTGCGCTAGGACATAAATCTATTTTAAAACCTTTATCTGAAGGGGAATATGCCTCCAAGAGAACAAGCTGTGCATCCCCTCAAGTACATGTGCTTTATGAAGATGAGGAAGGGACAAATCTGCTCAGGAAGTGGGTGTGATACACAATTAATTTCAGGGTGCAACAATTGCTGTTACAAGTAACACTGGGCATGTCCAGCCTCCTTGTAGTGGGAAAATAAGAAATGAACCATTTCCTGTTATTACATCCTACACAGATTTAACATTCAAATAGAAGCTCAGATTTGAATTTAAAAGGTTTGCAATAAAATTCCTGAGCAGGAATTGAATAAATTGTACTTTTATTGGCACGCTGGATATTCCCATGTCCTAACCTTTTTTCTACCCCATAACTATTCTAGTTCAATAAATAAAACCTCATTAGACTATTCCCATTTCAATGA